TGTGTAGGCTTATCTTTGTCAATAAGATCGTCCCTCTTTGCGGAAAACTTGCGAAGCTACCTCTCCCGTGAATCTGCAGACCGGAGCATCCCTGCCTCCTGCTACAGGTCTGTTTTGTAAACTGGATTTCATAGATGAGATTTTTAAGGAGTCCGGGCCTTTATACTTTTCTGTCTGTGGAAACCTGGATTTCCACTTGGCAGTCACCAAGACTGGCATTTTCATGTTCTGGGAGAAGGGTGTTAAAAATTACATTGCCAAAAACCAGCAAAGGAATATAAAGCTTAATGGCTTTAAAAGGGAAAGGAACAGCCCACATGAACTCACTATATCCAAACATTCCTTTTTAACGTGTGCATCCGCACCCTGATAGATGGTCTGAAGTGAATCCCAAAGTCCGGTGAGTAAAAGGCTGTCAGCTGAGCAGGGCCAAGGCATGGATCAGACAGGTCGCTGCTCCCCCCTGACAGCCATCCATCATAAAGCATGTCCTCAGCCAACATAAACTCCCCCCCAACCATGAACTGATACAATCAATAACGAAGGCTCCTACTGAACTATAGGTGCTTCTGAAATGGATCTACTATTACAGTTCCAGGAATGAGTTCATCTACATAGCAGTTCCTGGTACCCCCAGGGGAAGTTCCCATGGGGTGCTGAAGCTTGTCTCAGTCCTTCTCAAACCTGCCATGCTAAGCATCACCAGAGGCATAGTAAACCACAGGTTCTGGGCCCTCCCTGGGGGTTCTGATTTGGCGCCGGCGTGGCCTGAACATCTGTGACTCTAATGAACTCCCAGGAGATGCTGATGCTATTGGTCTAGGGTACACCTGCAGTAACACTGCTCAGTGGCAGCTGGTACCCAAGCGGCAAAGTAAACGCATCCATTTCCAAAATGTTACTTAAGAGGAACTACAATCTTGGCTTCAGGTGTATCTTCTGAAAGCTTCTTATTTCCTGTGTTCCTAGCAGTCAGTTGTAGATGGGATGGCTATGCCCATTTCTGTATGTTCCCATTGGGGTGCATTAGGACGAGGAATTTCGAAGGTAATGAGACCCCCCAAATCACAAAGACTTTGCACCAAAACTTCAATGGTATTAAACAGCAAATCAAAAAACTGAACAAGTTGCGGGAAAATCCTTTTTAAACTAATATTTCAAGTAAACTTTCTATAGGATAAAAACCAAACACGGGCACATTGTTCATTACGGATCATTACAAAAGTGATCTAAATCTTAATTACTCAAACTTTGGAACTCGGCACTTGAGGAAATGCAGTGAAAGAGCCCATGGTGTTGGTGAGACACTCGGACCTCCTCGGGAGCGGCGTGATGCCGAGTGTCCATGGCTGAAGCTCTAGACCAGCATTCACACTAGTTTTGAGCAACACAGTCTTTCTATGTTTAGTGGCCACATCTACAAAATAATGATGTTAGATTATGCTGTCTCTAAGGGTCCGTCGAGCTTGAATTCTGAAGAGACTCCTTCAAACCTGTTACCACATTTACCTTAAAAGGAAAACATGGTCCACCTCTTTTCATGACCACTCGCTCATAATGTTTTATCTCAAAGAACCAAACTTAGTCAAATATTACCTATTTCCTACTGACCAACACTTTAGATTTCAACACTTCATGGGGAGCTGTTTTATATTTGAAAATGAAGGTTTTTCTACAGCAAATCAAATGGGAGTGCTTTCTGTAAGAGGACTTACTTTCTACTTTCCAATCTGAAAGGAAGTTTTTGTGTGTTTAATATGAAATTGAAGTTATTAGGCATAACTGGCAGTGAGCTTATGTAGATACTGGTACATGCTCACAACTTAAAAGTACCAACAATTTGGAAAAAAATACACTTAAGCCCAAGAAAAATTACATAACGACCTCTATGGTGAGCTCCCCATGACTGGGCTTCCAAGTCTATAGGCCAAGTCTTGAGTGTTGTAACATCCTCACTGAAGCATGGAACATGATTTCTTACATCTCTTGACAACTGTCTTAAACATGACAATTATCTATTATCCCAATCATAGCAAGTGACACTGATAAAGTACCTCCTATATGATCTTATTGTATAAGATTCATATTATTGCCTGTTTCCATTGCATAGGTCTCCTAAATTAGAAGGTAGAATTCCAGAATTTTAGGAGGTAATTAGGCTACTAAACTGTACTTTGTAAGTACATGCAAAGTAATAAAGTCAAGACTTTTATCCTTACGTTTTAAAAAAGCATCACTTCAGTAGCTGATAAGGTAACATCTATATAAGAAGTAAACCTGTGACTCCAATTTTAGGGTCTTTTTAAAGAAAGTGCAGCTTATTACAAATGTTTGCATTTCTCTTCGGCTGTATTGGTCTAGTCGTTGGAATCAGGGGAAAACAACTCAAACACCGTCTCCTAATGAGACAGCCCATGTTTTACCAGGAGAGCTTCTGGAATCTCTCCAGTCAATTGTGATGGATTTTTTTCCCCTTCAGCATAGAAAGGAATAGGACAGAGCTGGTCATTTCAGAGCACTTTTCTACTAAACTTTAAAAGCAAAGTTGCAAGGCCTTCTTAAACATGTAAAGTAACTTCAAGTAGGAAAAACATTTCCCTTCAGACTTTGTTTCTCTGCAGAGGAAATTCTTCGGGGAGTTTCTGCAATTCTCTGCAGGCCTCCCTGTCTAATTTGTCGCTCACAGATCCCCACGGAGGGGTGTCATCAACAGGGAGAGAATAATGTCCGTGTGACGATCCAAGACCTCAGTGTGGCTTTGGACATTGAACAGTGCCAACCAGCTCTTGGTTTAATACATGTTTCTGATACGGAAGGAAAGAAGGGGTCAGAGGGAATAAGAAATCCCTCCCCATCTCCTAATATGATTTCTATGGACGAAAACACTCTCAAATCTCTGTCGAGGGGACACAATGGCAGCTACATAACTTCACTGTAATGTATCAGTCTGCTAAATGGACATACAGTATATACAGGGAGATCATTTGGCTACTCTAGGAAGTATTAATGATACTTATATACTCTCAGACATCATCACTATGAATGGCTGCGTTAGCTGGTTATTCAGTAATTTGATAGACTGTTATCTTTATTGCATATATCAGATCCCAATAAATACCAGAATACAGGAAGAAGATGTGAATCCTTCAAAACTGTTTGAGCTTCATTTTAGCCTTCATTATGAAGTTTAGGCAAATAATATTAAGTAATCGGGAGAATCTGTACATACCTTATTGATAGTGACCACCTAATCATTCATGTTGGACTTCTAGTATCTAGCAAAACAAAGATAAAAATAAAACTATTCCCATCTTCTCTAAGGAATGCAAGAACTGTCCCTGGCTCATCCATGCCCAGGCCGAGGGCTAGAAGATAGAGCATAGAAAACAAAAATGCCCCACCCAAAGTAGTCTCTCCCTTGGGAGCAGAGGGATTCAAAAATATTTTTTTTCCTAAGCTAAATTAATTTGTGGCTCTCTAATCTATGAAGGTATTATGTAACTAATGAGCCACAAAAAATTTTAGTACGACAGTACTGAATTCTTAAAAACAAAAATAATGTAGAATTTACAAACTTTTAAGTACACTTTTTCAGAGATAACCACAGTTCTTTAAGTATTTCTATTAATATCAACACGGGGGAAACTCAGATGCATATAAATAGTAAAATTCAACTACCTGTTTTACATAAAGTCTGTGGAGCACACTTAGGAACAATGATGTTTCCTTCCATAGGAGCCCTTTGCAACAGGCCGGTGGTTTATTCCAATTTAGGAAACCCCCTGGGAACTTTTCATGCAACAAGTGGCATTGCAACACCCATCTCCAAGCAATCCATGAAAGCATGTTTCCCCAAATCTTACTGAATTCATGATTACTGTATTGAATTTTAGATCACAAAACAGTAGAGACAGTCAGACCACTGGACTCGGGCAGATAAGATGTTACCACCTGTGAGGCCAGTGAGGCTGAACCTCAACAGCACTTGAGAGCTTTTCCCGTGCGGCTGTAAGTGCCCGGTGCCCCGCACGTGCACCTGCGCCCCCACAATGCACCCAGCGCTAGCGCCCCCCAGCCCACCTCCAAGGCCGCACCGAGGTCTGGGACAGTCACAGGGGCATTATTCTTTCCCTGTTGACGAGACTCTTCCTTGGGGATCTGTGAGCAAGAAATTAGATAGGGATGCCTGTGGAGAGCCGTAGAAATTCCCCTAAGAATTTACTCTTGCAGAGAAACAAGATGTAAGGGAACCCTTCTTACTTGAAGTTTCTTAAAATGTTCAAGAAGGACTCGTAACTTTGATTATAGAAGTTGGAAGAGAAATGAGTTTCTGTGAATAGTATTTCAGAAATCCTCAGACAGTGAGAAATTCAGAAATGTAGTGTTTCTCTGCAAACTCTTTGCTAAAGGCTCCCATAAATAAATAAATACATGTACACACAAAAGTTACCAAAACAAGTGTGACTTCGTTTTGAAACATGATCAAAGTAATCACTAAATTTCATTTGAATCAATAGCTTTTAGTTAATAGAGTAAAAAAAGTCAGCTTCAATTTTTGCTTTTAATATTTTGCACGAATAAAGTCTGGGTTTTGGGAGCCGGGCAGGAAAATCTGTATTTTCATGATGCCCCTCACATTCAATACCATCTTTTCCCCAGAATGTCTCCCTTTCCTGGCAGCTCTCTCGCCACAACTGAATCTCGAAGGGCAGGTAATCAATCCAGAATAGCCCGGTGGGCACAGTGAAAGAATTACAACCTGGACTCCACGCTTACACACGATCAGTAACCTCAAAACGTCGAAAGAAGCCACTGTCTCCAAGGGGTAGCTGATTTGGAAATGCGCCGGCTAATAAGCAGGTGTGTGTCCGAAACTGAGGGATGGACCCCAGGCATCTTCGTGTGCAAAGCCCAGGAGAACACTCGGAGCCCGGGGCGATGTGCTGGCTGAACGCCACACAGTCCAGAGACCGCCGCGTCCCAGCCCGCTGCCTCCTTACCTGTTGGAGGCGGCGATGCTGCTGCGAACAGCGGAAGATGCTGATGTGGGCGCAGCGGCTGCTGCGCGAGCCCTGCCCGAGCGCAGACCCGCCCCGCCCTCTCCTCCAGCGTGCTAGGGGCTCCCCGGGCCTGGAGGCCGGCTGAGGTTTCAGAGGGGCAGGGAGGCGGGCCCCACCCACCAACCGAGGCACCCGGCGCTTCTGGTCCCACCCCGAGGTCCACGTGAAGGCCATCCGGGCCGCCGATTGGGGAGCCAGGTGCAGAGGCAGAAGCATCTCGTGACCCTTGGATACAGCGCGAGAGGTGGTTACCTGGCAACGGGTAGTCCTCTCGGAAGACTGGGTTCCCAGGCTCTGCAAGCGGAGCTCCAGTGGAGTTTGCAGTGAGGCTGGAAGTGGGGGAAAGCAGTGAGCCACCAACTGACTCCCGCCGTCCTCTGAGCGAGTCTGCACTTTGTGGGTGATGGGAGTGAGTCAGGTACGCACAGAGTCACGAATCACAGCCTCCTCCTTGAGGTGCCTGGAGGACACAGGCGAGCCTCCTTCCAAAGCCAGGCTGCCCTGGCCTGGGACCGTTGCCTGAACTTCATTGTGATCCCGTGGGTCTCAGGTGGCTGTGGGCAGATGCCTTGGGATGCCGCTATTTGACTCCATCATGGGGCTGTACGCACTTAATGTACGCCTTCAAAGTGTGCAAAAACGACATTTTTCTTGCGGAATCGGGTCGAATGAAAATGCTTAGTGCTGTCTTACATTTTCCTCTTCATGTTTCTGAAACACCTTCACTGCCTGTGGCCTTTATCAAACACACGGGAGAAAATAAGCTTTCATATAATTGGCATAAATTGTATTCAATTATATTCAATGAGCTTTAATTATATATCAGACTCTGAATAGTTAATGAATGGTCTGCCCCAACCAGGGAAATTCCTGGACATAATTCCTACCCTCCTAAGCCAGAGAATTTTCTTCTAAAAGTATTCTCTGCAGACTGCAGACAACCACGACACTCAATTTATTCTGCCAATTAATATTTACTTAAAAATTGCCTTTCCCCATAGATAATAAACTTGTTCAAAGCCAGCACCAGCTCCCAAAACTGTTCCCTACATCCAACAAAGTGGAGTCTCGCATTGTGATATCAATTGATCCATAGCAGACCTTCAGTAAATACTTGATAGATGGATGGGTAGATGGATGGATGAATGGATGGGTGGGTGGAAAAAAGAATAAACTAGCCCGTAATATACTACAGAAAGTATAAGAGGCAAAAACTACATCTAATGCAATGTGTTAAGTTCTACAGTAGGGCTGTATAAGACTTCTATGAGACGATTCCAGAAGAGGAAGGGAGGGAGTTTTTTCTTCCAGTATTTTCTGAGAAGCTTTTGATAACAGTGATGCTTGAGCATGATCTTATTAAATCAGTAGATTCCACCTCCTGGAAGAGGAGACAGGGTGTGCTACATGGAGGGGGCAGCGGGGCTAAAAGCACAAAGTGGCGGTGGTGGGGGCATGATTGATGTAACCGATTTTGGCTCATTGGCTTTCTGCAGGTAGGAGGAGAGACAGCAGTTGGCGGAGATTGGTGAGGCCAGAGCAGAGGCCAGATTGAGGAGCGTGTGGAACTCTGTGTTCTGGTTACACTCCAGCCTCCACCTCTTGGGCTTTTTCATCAGGAAGGAGAACATGGAAATGTCGGAGGTCCCTGAGGCTGCAAAGAAGTGAAAAGCTTGATCCCTTACAGGGAAAATGCAGTCTTTTCTGGGAAAGGGGCCGATGGCCTGAAATCAGATGACGAAAATAAAGATGATAAAGAGAGAAGATCACGAGAAACGTTTCTGGGAAAATAGACTGTCATTTCCTTTAATGACTGACATTTGTTAGGTACAGTGCTAAATATAAAATAAAATACAAATATAAGGAATAAAATAGGAAATATAGTATAAAATACATTGAGGAGGGAAAGTGTCAAAGACCAAATGTCTAGCTTGGTCCGTGGGTTGGGTTGAAAAGTCTTTTTCATCTATCAGTTCATAATTGATCCAGCTTCCGGGTGAGAATCATACAACCAAATGGAGCATCAGAAACTATCTGCTTGTACATTCATGTGTAAAGATGAAGACATCAAGGCCTGGAAAGTTATACACGTGTCAAGTCATGCGGTCCTATCAGCAGCAGAATTAATATCACAGTGTAAGACTCCTCATTCAGTGCTCTCTGCCCTTCACTATGAGTGGGCTCGTTAGGTTTGAAAGGGAGGTTTAAACGACCTCAGTTATAGTTAGATTTGGAGCCCAGGGAAACAATACAACCTAATTTCTGAGGAAAAGATCTCTGATTTTCATTCTTTTATTCAGTGAGGACTTAATGTGGTGCTCTCATCTTACAAAGAAAAATACCATCATCACTCAGGCTAAGAGTTTCAGGGCAATGATTAGGTCCTGACGTGACGTACATAGAGTTCTTCATGATTCGATTTAAAAGCAGAGAGATTAGCAGAATGAAATGACTCTAGTCGATTCATCTCCAAGGCTGGGCGTGTGCTTTGGGGGCAGGGCCTTTGAAAAGGTGTCCAATGATATTAAATGTGGTGAGCGCCTTTTCAATGGACATTCTAAATGAAAAAAAAACAACAACAACCAGGAAGAATTTCTTGAACTTAAATTTTAGGAAAAGTTAGCTGAAAAGGCTTTTGATTCACCTAAATGGAGAGTGTTCACACATTATTTTATGTAAAAGTGGAAAGAGAATAAGCATGCCAAAAAAACCCCAACAAAACCCTGATGTGCAGTAAATGCATAGAGAACTGAATACTTAAAAACTCACTATATGCAAAAATACTTTTAAAACTTTAACTAGTTTTTTAAAATATAATCTATTTCCACAATATTGGCTAATAAAGTATATATATAAAACACATAGTAACATTTATAGTATAGATATAAAACTAATGTTAACATTTGGTTATTATGAAATACATTACATTTCTAACATTATTCTTTGGACTTCATGAAGTACAAAGAAGCTTAAAAATTTACCCAGTAATTGCATAAATCTTGACCTTTTTATTGCTTGAACTATTTATTTTAATTTTATCTGCAGTCTTGAGGTTAGTATGTCCATTTATGTCTATGCCTGTATGGTGAAAATATTGTGTAATACTGTATACTTCTCCCCAACTTGTCGAAAAGCAATATCGCGTTGGTGGCTTGAAAGTGTCCACAGTTGGGTGTATTTACAGCCTGGAAATCAGAAGATGCTACAAACTGGGGCACGATTCACAGTTTTGTTAACTGTCTAGACGCATTGTCCAGTAAAGTAGCTGCTGGTCAAATGCGGCTACACCGCAACAGTCATCTGTGGTGAAGTGACGCCTGCATTAGACAGAGCAGATGCAGAACATCATCTGCATGGCTGCCGGAAGCTCTGTGGGAAGCCCTGGTGTACTTCAGGGCTCAGAGGGCTGTTCCTGTGAAGAGTCAGGGTGGATTTTCGGTTTTAAAAGCCATACAGTCTCCGTCCTGGCTGCTCAGTTCTGCTCTCGTCACTGGAGAGCAGTCAGGCAGTGTGGAAATAAACAGGTGGCTGTGTCCCCTGAACTTCTATTTACAAAAACAAGAGGCAAGCTAGATTTGACTTACAGGTCAAAAACGTCTTAAATAAAATACCTAAGCTGAAGACATGTTATCATTAAGAGGAATATGGTAAAGTGAAGCATATAAGCCAATACTTGGTATAAACTTAAGAAAGTGTTGGAGAAAACGTGAATGATGCAATTCATTTGGGAAGAGGGTGTGTCTATAGCTATCACAGTGTGACTAGCACAAGAATTGAGAAACTATTCCTCTAATATTCAAAACTCAGTACCCACTGCTATGAAAAAGTTGCTCGGGTTAATGATGAACAAGCCTTTATTGTTTTGCTTTTGACTTACCCATTAACATAAATGAAATCATTAATCAACAGTGAAGTCAGAACTATATTCATTTGTCAGTTGCAACCATAAGTTGGCTACAAATACTAGCATTTGGCAAAAATTAATGAAATAATTTAACAATCAATTAGCTACCTGGAAAGTAAAATAAAAAAACAATGCATATTATAGTATTGTGTGTAAATCACATGCAACACACCCTTTATATCAGCAAAATGTGTGATAAACTCATGTGCACACATATTTGCACACTTGGTTTTCTCCAGCGAGCTGGTTGTCTCTGAAGTTTATCAGCGCACCACCAGCAAGTGCTCGGGTGTGTCTGCAGAGCGACACCAGAGTGTGTCACTGACTGTGGTGTTCCTAACGCTGCCTGTCTTATGTGGTCACCTGTTTGTCTCTCTTTCTGTTGGTCTCTCCAGCATGGCCATGAAATTGTGCTGCCCCCCCCCTCAACTGTGGGGGACAGACAGGACAGATGGCCGCCGCTGCTGCATCCGGACCCCACTACCACCGGTCACCTCAGAGGCCCTCTTCACTGCATGTACGTTTTATCTCACTGGTTACTGCTCGACCTTGGTGAATAACTAACTACGCCCAGATAATATCAAAGCGTCCCGACAGTATACAGTTGGCCCATTGGGTTGGAAAAAAAATTATGTGAGTGCATTTCTTAAAAAAAGAAAAGGAAGATGCTGTTCGAACATAGGTTTGCATTGAATATTGGGAGTTCATGGAAACAAAGGTAAAACTGTTCTTGGTTACCTGACCTCTAGGTCAGGAGCCAGCTGACCTCTACCCTTGATTTTACCATGTTCCTCTTTAATAAGAGATTATCAGCTTATTAAATCCTAAGTAGAAGTATATTTTGCTATAAGATACAGGCAACTTTTATCTGAGATATTATAACTCCACTTATCTAAGACTCCCCACTATGGGTATCCAGTCGGTAAGTTGTTGGGGGGGGTGTATTTTATATGTAGATATATAACTGTTCACGTATTTAAATGCCATTTATCAAAGCCATACAAATAGCACTGAAGAAGTATATACAATACCCTGACACAATGCGACAGACTAAGGCCAGGCAAAATAAAATGAAGTTCAGACCTTGGTTTCTGGAAAAGATGCCTCAGACCGTTCGCTGTGAAGACAACACAGGACGCGGTTGCCATGAGTGGGAGCCCCGCGC